AAGATGGTTCAGTCAGTAAGGGCACTTGCTGCCAAGTCTGACCACCTCAGTTCAATCCTTGGGAACTCTTGTGTTAGAACAAGAGAACCAATTCCAGCAAGTTGTTCTCTGACTTACATGTACATTGGGGCATGCATGTATGTGAACATGACCATGCACACACAAAAGAAACACATACATTGAAAACATTTGTGTCTTAGAAGCATGGAGATGTATTCCTGTGATGCCAGTACTTAGGAGGTGGGTCCAGGAAGGTCAGGATCAGGTGAGACCCTGTCTTAACCTCTTTTTTTTTGATGGTGGCTCACGCCTTTAATCCCAGCACTCCGGTGGATCTCAGTGACTGTGAAGCCAGCCTGATCTACAGAGCAAGCTCCAGGACAGTCAAGGCTACACAGAAAACCCTGTTACGAAAACTCAAAACAACAAAACAAAACAAAATAAAAAAGAAAAACAAAAAAAACCCCAAAACAAAACCAACCTCCCCCCAAAAAAATCCAAACCCCAAACCAGAAATACATGTTGCACCTTTTCCTGGGGATATAGGCTCAGTGCTAGAGCACCTGGATAGCCTGTGTCAGGCCCTGAGTTTATCTCCAGTAATATTAAAATCAAGTAAAAGTTTAGTTATTTTTTTCTCTGAAAAAAAAAATGCTTCATGTAGTTTTATGTTTCAGAAAATTGCCCTTTATGTATCAAATTGTCTTTCAAAATGCCTTAAACATTTTCTATCGAAATGTTCCTAAAGTGTTTGTTCTCCTACTTTATTAAAAAGATAGAAGCAACAATCTCAGTTAAAGAAGACTTGTGGTCGCCATTATGAAAATCAGCTAAGAAATGCTGTTCTAATGCAGTAATGGCCTTAGGACTCTTTGAAGTATGAGGAACTATGTACTCCTACGCTAAGTGGCCCCAGACTGTTCGGATGCTGTCACTTCTGCTGTCATTGATTTGGGTCCACTCTTTGTCCCTTTTAAACCCAGGGTAGAACTGAATGTCTAGAAATCAGATGGCAGAGTTGGTTAAATATGCAACTGGAGTATTTGTGTGCAAAATAAAAGGCCGAATCCCAGAGGGTGGCTTCAGTGTTCTACAGTAAATTTCACAGGCTGAATGTTTCTTTTGCTCCTTCTTTGCTCTGGGGAGGGGTGTCTGGGGGCAGGGGTGAGACAAAGGTTTGCTTTGGATGTTGATTCATCCCCAAATCCGAATATTGAGTCATTGCTATAGTTCCTGGGTTGTTTTCGACGTTATCTTTAATATTGCAGGAGAGGATGCAAAGAACACCTTACTTAAT